AAAGTTAATAGGGAGGGTCAGGGGGTACTGGCACAAAGTCCTCTCCATGGCCCCACAACTCTTCTAGGTGTGACTGAGCCACTGCTGGCCATCCCAACCCAGAAGGAAAAGTCCACTGTCAGCACTGGCACCCTATGGTCACATCAGGCCCATCATGTATGTTTCTAGCTTGCAAGTAAAACTTAACAGCATTACCCAAAGATGGGTAAAAATACTCGATTTCTAGAAAATATAAAGGACATGAAGATGACACTTGCAAATGACGGGTTTTCTGAAAAGTGTAAAGAGTGAATGATGAATTTTTCTGACTCAGCCCCTCAGCAATCCCTCCTCCTGTGCTCACTCACTTCTGTGAGGACAACTTTAACTGGTGGGACTTGAAATACTTCTGCCTATATTTTTCACAATACCCTTTAGTATGATTGCTAATGTCCTGCATTGAAACACATTTTTCAGCCATCTGCCAGCCAAAAAAAAAAAAAAAAAATCCTCAAGATCAGAGAGTTTGACACGTGGAATATCAGTCCTATTTGGATGGCTTTACGACAAAGTTCAGGTACTGGCCAGCCAAACCACAGCATCAGAAGCAAATAAATCAGAGAGAAAGAACAAAAGTGAGGTAAGTCCATGGGCCTATGCACGCTGTGTGCTGCTGGCAAGAATGACACTCCTGTCTGTGCAAATCCCATTAGAAAGCCAAGTTGAAGAGCCTTCTCTGCCCAAGACAAAGCGTGTCCCTTACACGGCCCGCGGCTGCCCGTAACGGATATAAATGGATATAAACGCCGGGCTCCATCCGCTTCCTCTTGCGTAACCCAGGGTGGGATCTTCACCTGAGACAATGCATCCGAGGAGGAAACGCAGCAGTGGGGAAAAAAAAAAACAAAACAACGACAACACAAGGTCTGCTCCACGTTCAATCTGGCGTAGGATGAGGCAGCGCTCTCATAACAAAGAATGACTCAAGGCCTCTTTTGGAGAATTCCTACGAACGCAGCAACTGAAAAGCCCAGGGAGCAAATCAGCACTGCTCGCCCTGCTTCCGAAACTCCTGTCAAGCCAAGGGTGGCCACCTTTCCCCCTGGGATGGCTAATGGCAGCCTTCCACCTGAAATAGCTCCACGAAGCTGATGTGGGGGGAAAAGCACCTGGAGCAGGGCAGGGGAGTGCAGCCCATCCGTCACTCCATCCCACCACCAGACACATCATTGTCTTTATGTGCACATCTTACTCTTTACTATTGCCTGCATCCCTGCCTGGTAACGCACCACGGCCCTTGTCCCTCACCTCGGCCCTGTTCTCTCTTCTGGGAAAACCGAGAGACACGCTTTGTTTTCATAGGTTGTTTCTTTTTCATGCAAATGTTGTTCTCAGTTTGCATTGCGAGCCAGCAAAGCAATAAACCCCGCACCTGGAGCGGGAGATGCCTGGTTTGGGAGGAAATCATAATAAAGACTCACATGCATTTAGCCGGCTATTTGTTCTTGACAACTCCTGAAAAAATTCTAAGTGATAAACTGCAATAATTGTTTAAAAAAAAAAACCCACCACCCAAAACCCAAACCCCACGCTCAGTAAAGAAGGCAGATTTACCATAATGCCTCAACAATGTAAGGGAGCCATTTACTTTGACAGAACCTGAATTCCCCAAGCAGTTCCACAGTGGTAATGGAAACAGAGGAGCCAATAAATTATAACCTTGTGTGTAATGCGCCTACCATTATAAACCACTCTTAGCCTCCTGCTTTATCCCCTGGGGGGGCCACTCTAACAGATGCTGGGTTTCCTTTCCTCACTCTTCCAGTGTGTTCCTTCAGCAGCCGGACCCTTTTATAATGTCTAATACCATGCTCTGCATTTACATAGCATCTTTAATGCCAACATCCCCACATATTCTATACCACTTAGAAGCAAGCTATGAGGATTTTTTACAGGCTGAAGTAGAGGCATTGGGAGACAAACTGGCTTACCAAAGGTCACACAACCGCTACGTATCGACAGAATCCCAAATATTTTCCAAGCATGTATCCGTAGGTGAACACCACTCGCGGGTGTCTCATGCTGAAGATGCACACCATCTATCTTAAAGCACCTACAGTATTTTGGAAGCGTTTCAGGCTGGGGTTTCAGCACTCTGGGGAGACCAAGCCTGCCAGAAACTGTGGGGAGAGATGGACCAAAGACCGGATAAAGACATACAAAGTCCCCAGAGTTTTGCCAAAGTGCTAAAGAGCACTGGTTGATTTTAGAAAACACCTTTGCCTGTGCAAAGATGACTTCCCCCAAGTATGAGGTGTGGAAGCAAAACACAGGTGTAACTGCAAGACGGAAGCTGGCCCTGCTCTCTCTTCTAAGGTTAATTAAAACTCTCAGAGAAACAGATCCCTGGCGTGATTCTAACATATCGGTCCAAGGATCTGAGCAAGACTGAAGTCTGATAAAAGTGACCTTGGCTCTCTGCCATTACATCTCGCAATTAGCATTTCCCTTCCTAACCAAAAAAAAAACCCCATAACGGTGTGTCTCATTTTATATACTGCATTACCTAAAATGAAAGGTATTAATTAGTAAAACAGTGTAATTTGCATTTAAGCCCCAGGCAGCAAATCTACAGCAATTTCTGAAATTAAAAAAAAATATGTATATACCATAAAGAATCACTTCAGTTCTCTCCAAGGGAGTTAAGCTGTCAAAGACTGAAAGGGATGCAGTTCTGCTCTTCAGTATCAACCTCAAAAAGCCTAATTCTAGGCGGGTTTGTACCATCTATTGTTTAGTACAGAGAGAGGTGCTGTACTCGTGTCTCCAGGATAGCTCAGCAATCAGCTGTATCAGCAGCTCCAAGGAGGATTATTCTCCCCTGCTGCTTTTTTTAAAAGCAGATTAGTTCAGATTTTCTTTCACTGTAATGAATCTTGTAAGGATCAAGCACATTGTATTGATTTCCAGGAAAAAAAAATTGTGTGGTCAGTCAAAAGGCCAAGCAAACAGTTCCACAGACCCACTCTGCCCCAACAGACCCACTGCCCCAGAATCACCCATTACCCCCAGCAAAGGGGAAAAAAATGCAGTTGTTAACCATAAAAGCCAAAATATGATTCTCAGGTCATGTGTAACTTTGCTTTTCATCAAATTCAGATGGATAACAACCCACACAGAAACAGACAACAGAACTGAAGATGCTTATGAAGTCCTATTCAATCCAAGTCAGAAATCGACAGGACGTGATGCGGTTTTATTTACTATATGGTATCTGCAATAATGGGTAGGAAAGTACTTCTTAAAAATGTACCAGTTTAGGGTAAAATAAGGAAAACTCAACTTCTCTAAAAATTTGCATTGATACAAAATTACTCTCAAGTAACTTTCCCCCTCAAGCATTTCCTTACATCCACATCCCCCTGTAACATCCCAGCTTGACTAGGATTTAAAGACACAAAACCCAGAGACTTTCTTCTTGCTGGATGGCCACAAAAGCTGTGTCAGGGTGTGAGAGCCTGCCTCCCCAACACGAACCCTGCAGGTGCCACAAGCCTCCCTCACCTCCTGTGAGACACTACTCTCCAGACACCAAACCAGACCCTGAGGATACCGTATTTTAAACTACCTAACGAAGGCAAACTTCTCTTCTTGTAACGCTGAAACTCAAGATGACATGAGTTGTCTGCTGTGACAAAGCTGCAATCCTAAGTTTAGTTGAAAAACAAATAAGCAAAAAAACCCCAGAGGACAGAATCCCATTGCCGTTTTTCTTCTTTAAGTCTAACAAATCTGTATGAAATACCTGAAGATCACTGTGGTCTACAGCTCAGCACTAAAGGATCTACCCTTTCAGAAATATTGCCAAGCATATTTCACTTCAGACTCCAAAATTGAATTTTATGGAACAATGTATGGCATTTGCCATCATTTCCTGCAGGCAAAACTTCAAAACGCCTGTACAGGTCTATTCATTTTTCTCAGAACAAAAAATAGGAAATGAATTAATTGAAACATTTACGATAGCGATACAACTTCACAAGGAATCTCTGCATTGACCTTTCCAAATCAAAAGCCTGTCCACTAAACTACAGCTCAAGCAGATTTCATGAAAGATCAAAGACAATTAAATACATCCACTACATAAAACGACATTAGAAATAAGATGAAGTTCACAGTCGTCAGAGCATCTCCATTCCCAAGTCTCCTAAAGAGGTCCTATAGTAAATTTCATCATATCGGATTTCACAATAATACAGAACACTGGGAGGGAATTGATCGTGTCCCCTCCGAGTCAATGAAACCCTCGCCATTGATTTTAAAGGGAGCGAGATCAGGCACTCGCTTGCAGTTTTAAAATAAATAAATGCATATGTTGCAGTCCTCTCCTTCAATAAATCACACACCTTATACATAAAAATGGAATGACATTCCCTTGGGAGGGGAAACTTCACCTTCCAACCCCCCTCCATTCCGGCTGTCAGAGGGACCCTGCGCGGCCGTAACCCCACCGGCAGCGCCCCGGGGGCGGAGGGGACAACTCGGGGGGGGGTGCGATGAAAGCAAGCACCGGGTACCGGCACGGCCGGCTGCTTCTGGCCACGCACCCCCGCGGGCAGCACCGGAGCGGGAGTCAACTTCTGCCCGCACCTGACGGGCACCTGGCAGAGAATAACACAAAGTGCTTTCCAGGCACTTTGTCACGATTTCGTAACTCCGGGAGCCGCGGCCGGCTCTGGGGGGGCGAGGGGGTGCGGGGACCGTCGGCGCGGCAGCGGCCGGACAGCCGGGGGGTCCCGGGGCCGCTCCCTCCCGCCCTCCGGAGTATTTTGGGGACATCCCCGGCCGAGCATCCCCTCGCTCCCACCTTTACATCGCGGGGTGAGGGGGTGTGTTTGTAGGGAGGGAACCCCCAACCGCCGGCCGCAGGGAGAGACCCCCATCCTCCGCCGCCCCGCGGGACGTCCTGCCGGCAACCCGGGCCCTCCCGGCCGCCCTCCCCCGCGTCCCCGGGAACCCACCTTTCCCAGCAGGGCGCTGCGGCTGGCGGCCGCCAGTTCCCGCAGGCTGGCGGCGGCCGAGGCGGCGGCGGCGGCGACGGCG